AAACATCCACCTTATATCTTTTTTTCAGCAAGAAGCTAAACGATAGTTTATCACAATCTCCCAAATACTTGAAAAAATTATATGTCATCACCGAAGTCGTTTGCAAATGACATCAATATTTATCGGGCATTGAGTTCAGTATTCGCATAGATCATAAAAGTCTCCGTGATCTTCAAACCGAATAATATTATCTTTGCAAACTCTTAGGATTTAATTTCACCATTGAGTATCAACTAGATAAATCAAATATGGTTGCAGATTCATTATCTCGATTACCTGAAGATAGGGTTCCTTTCTCCTCTTTCTTATTTTCGCTCTCCACACTCACTAATTTTTCTTTTTTATTAATTAATGATTTAACGAAGGAAGCCCGTACATATCCAATATCCTTCAACTCACTTCTCAACTATAAAAAGGTGAACTCTCTCCTTCAGATTATCAGTTTCGAAACCATTCTTTATTTTACAAGGGCGAATCTATGTTAGTAAATCTTCTATGAAAAATAAGATTCTCATTGAATTTATTTCTAAATCTATTGCAGGCCATTAGGGTATTCTCAAAACTATTAAAAATATCTCTACTAATTTTTATTAGCCTTGACTCCAAAAATATATCACTAATTTTATTAATAATTATCTTACATGTCAAGAAATCAAAACCTCTACCATGCCTCTTGCCGGTTTATTAAAACCTTTACATGTTCCATTACAAATTTGGGAAGCTTTATCTCTGGATTTCATTATTGGCCTACCTAACTTAAAATGGTACACCACCATGATAATAGTAATTGATCGTTTGTATAAATATTCTCATTTTGGCCAATTACCTCCAAATTATTCAGCCTCTCGCATAGCTGAACCTTCCAGAAATATGGTCATTAAATTGTATGGCTTCCCTAAAACAATTGTCCTTGACCACGACAACTTTTTTAAGTTACTTTTTGGCGTTACCTTTTTTCCTTGAGTGGTACCACTCTTCATTATAGCAATGCATATCATCTACAAATAGATGGACTAACTGAGGCCCTCAATCATTATTTAGAACAATGTCTTCATGCTTTTACCTTAACCAATCCTTGATTATGGTCTACATTTCTTTATTGGGCTGAGCTTTGATACAGTACTTCTTTTCATACTGTTATTCAAATAACCCTTCTCAGGCTCTATATGGTAAATTACCGCCATCAATTACATTCACTATAGGAAAATGCGCTATTGTCCGCGGATAAAATCCGCCGATAATACGTGAAATTCGTCGAAAAATCCTTATTTCTAGCGGAATTCTAGCAAAAAACGTCTCCGACGGTAATTCACATGTCGGAAAATCTATACCGGTGTAACATTTTTGCCAGAAAATTTTTCGGCAGTTTACCGGCTCAAAATTTGTAAAACCAACATCTTTTAAGATGGAAAATTCCGGAGTTTCTTCCATCGGTATTGCAAGGATATATTGTATGCTGGAATAACCGATGGAAATTCTGCCACCCCGGCCGTCGCACTATTATCGACGACATTACTAGCGGATATACTGGCAGAAAGGCCAGTGATGCACGTGGGAAACAACGATTAAGTATTGTCGTATCGTGTGAAATGTACGCCGGTAACACGATTGAGATAATACCTTTTCTTACCAGTTGGGTTTGGGGAAGCTCTTAGCGAAAGTCAGTGAGGGTTTGATCGGCGTAGCTCTCAGACGCCAGGAACGATGGTCGGGGAAGCTCTTGGACGCGAGCACGAAGAGAGGGAAAGAAATGGTCGGCGTCAGCGCAGCTCTCGAACGACGAGCGAAGAGGGTTTTGCCAAGGAAGCTATCGGACGCGAGAGAGGGAAAGAAAGCGAACGAGATCAAAATGAGAACTCAGATAGCGGACGGGTTGAAATAGGGCCTGTACTGGCGTCTTTCCAGTGAATTATCTGTCGGTTATGCTACCAATGGATAATGCGCTGGTACTATTTCGTTGAGTTTAAGTAAGCCGATGCAATATTCGCCGGTAACTTCGCTGTTAATTATCAACAGAAAAATGCGTCGGAAACCTTTAAAATACCGTCAAATATCTAGTGGAATATGCGCGGTGATTCAGCGACATAAACTGCACTGGATATTTCGCCGTTAAGTTACCAGCGTTTATTCTGCCGGTAAACCTGTCGATTTTACTGACGTAACTATTTCCTCTGGAACGTCCGACAGTAATAAAGTGTTTTCCTGTAGTGATTATATATCTATGGTACTTCTAACATTCATGATGTAGACACTTTTATTAACAAACTTTGACACCCTATTATTGCAACTTCATCAAAATATATATCAGGCCCAACATCGCATGAAAATAATTGTTGATCAACATCATCACGATTTAAACTTATTCGTTGGCAATTTGGTTATGATTAAACTCCAATCTTTTCACTAAAATTCTGTAGTCAGTCGTACACATTCTAAATTGGCAAAAAGTTATTTCAAACCATTTCCCATTCAAGCTATTATAATTCCTATGACCTAACAACTATCTCTACCTGCTGAAAACAAAGCTCACGCAGTCTTCAATATTTCCCTCTTTAAACCTTTTAAAGGCACTCCTCCAACAAACACTGCTCTTCCCATTTTAGTCCCAACAAACAACTCATTCTTCTTTCATATGGAATTTTAGCTTCAAGTACCATATAACTCCTGGGCCAACCTCACTGTCAGGTTCTTTTACGATGGAAACTCTTTCTTCATGATGATTTCACTTGGGAAAAATTTTCAGCTATTTTAGATACATTTTCAACTCTCAATCTTGAGGCCAATGTTGTTTTCCAAGCCAATGGGTGTGTTAAGTAACAACACATTATCTTGGACTCAAATATAGTGCATCATCATTGCCAAGAATGGGTGAATTATTTAAAAATTCAATACCAAGATGATAAAATACTTCAAGTCTATCATAGAAGAAGAGGACATAAGGCCCTACAAGAAACAATGCAAGTAACAAGCCAACTACAACATCCAGTGGTTCATGTTATTTCAACATTAAACAAACCCCAAAACCCATTTTTAGTTATTTATTATTAATTGTGTTGAACCACCTGGTCTAAATTTTTATTAGACCCAAAACCGATTTATGTAAGTATCATAAATAGACCCCTAAGACTGTAATTTTATTTGACGAAATGAGATTTTATTTTCTTCATTTTCTAATCTCTTTTCTTCCACTTCTTATTCCTTAAGGAGTCCACACCTACTTAAAAGGCGCCTTGATGTAGATCAAGAATTTTAATAGTGATTAACATGTTTTATCCCCTTTTTGGCTAAACTTTTCAAATCAAATTCTACAACAATAGTGCCCACCGAATCAATTTAGGCTTGACATCTTTCTTCTCAACCAAATACTTGATTGCAACATGATATGCATAAACAATCATTTTACACCAATAAGGTAGCTCTAAATCTGTAAACTGTTACTATTGTAGTGTAAACTATTATTTTGCACCAATAAGATACTTTACATGATAACTTGTATGGTGTTACAATTGCGTGTGCATTGCTTCATTACAAGCTTATATAGTTCTTTAATTGAGTTGCATATCATCGGCATTGTACTTAATATTAATCACTCACATTGTTAGTAATAAACACCTTGTATATTTTGTCATCTACACTTGCACATTTGTGTGATTGTGTGTTAAGTTCAATTATTTAATTGTTTATGTACTTTCTTTCATGTATTTGCAGTGTGAGTTTGAGTTGGGAAAATTTTCAAAAGAGGTTTATTTGCCGTTATGTGCCCAAATTCAATTCTTTGATCCTCCCAAGCCCATACATCTCTCTAGCTCAATACCTACCTCTCACATTAGAAAGGTTGTTGAGAAGGAGAGAGAGGCCTCTTATGGACTCCCTTTATTTAAAAAATAGAAAATGTTACATATTCTAGCTAGTAAACAGAATCCAAGTGAAGTTAGTGATGTCTATCTCATCGATTAAAAAAGCGATCGAGGCGTCCGAACAGAGGCGCGACTCAGTTCGAGAGCTAACCCGGCGCCTTGAGGCTTAAGCCTCAATCTATTTGACGAGGCGTGCGATTTTTCTCAACGAGGCGTGCGCGTCGAGGCGTAACGCCTCGAGGCAGCGTGAGGCGACGCCTCATTTTAGGATTCGACGGAGCTCACAGTGAAGAACAAGTTCCTTATCTTTCGAACGTGCTGCTTCAGCTTTGTCCTTTTTGAGAGCTGCTTCGTGTTCGACCACAAGTGAGTTATTCGATCCAGCAGGAGTGCTCGCGGACTACCTTTTTTCCTGGTTCGACTGCTAGTTTGGGTTCGTCACGCTTCATGTGAAGTCGGAGCTCGAACCGAAGGTAACACTAGCTGTTCGACCTCTATTTAAGCTTTACCTACTTCCTATTTCGTGTACTTTGGCTTCGACAACTGTAGGTAATGGGCTTTCTTCCTTTACTCATGGAGCTTAAAACAACAAGAATTATTTTTATGCTTCTCTTTTGATGGCTAATATTCAGCGTCTTAAAATCATTGCATGTCTCACCACCATTCATAAATAAAAGCATTAAATTAATAATATCAATATCAATTGTCTTTTTTTTTGTTGTTGGAAAAAAATTCATATTAATTAATTACACATAAAATATTGATAAAAATTAATCACAGTGAAGCTCAAATTTTTATATCTATTTTAAAATTTATAGAATATTAATAATTTATATATTACTATTTTTAATATATGCCAAAAACCTTTAAGATCATCATGATTAAAATTCTTATCAAGATATTCTGATAATTTTTTTACATATCTTATTATTCATTTTATGTTTATTGAATGAAATTGTTCTTTAGTCTTATGTCTATAAGTCTATTTAACATTGACATTATAACTCACTTTTAATTTAAATTTTGTTTTACCTTAATATTCTAATTAACATTGATTAATATTTTGTCATTATTTATAATTTTAAATTACCTTATTTTTATCGTTTTGAGGCGTAAGCCTCAAAACGCCTTGGTTCCTGATTTCGCCTTTTAAAACTTTGGTCTATCAACACCGTCATAAAATAAGCTTGCATCACATTGGGCATCATGCCTTCCATTACATAGGAGAACTTACTATAATATAGCAGTTGAGGAACACTCTTCTTTGGTGTCCCTAACCCTCCTTTTCTCTTCTGCCAACCTTATCTCAATGAGAACATCCAAGAATGTTGAAGTTGTGTTTTATGTCTAATTTAAATTAGAATTTCAGACTAGTAAAGCAAACTTTAGAAAATAAGGATCATGAGTAAGAAGTGGGAAAGAAGACACCATGAAGAATTGACAGACACTGACTCCATTATATAAGGTTATCTACATAGGTCTTGTTGCTTCCCTCTTTGCTCTATAGGGACATAAAGTTTGAGATTTCGGGCTTCATATCTCAGATGTGTTAACGAGTACAAGAAAGAATTAATCGAGCAAGTTCCTGCTAATTGAGCATAATTAATATAAAAGGATAAAAAGATGATGAAACCTCCATCAAGTTAGATTCTGTGAATCAAAATGACGCTGTTTTGCTATGGAAAGTTGTTGTAGTCACCGATTATAATCACCCCAAGATTCAAACCTTGACCAACACAACTTTTTGCCACCTTTGCGCTGGTCAGATCCTTCTCTTCCCTATTTTAATTATTTGTCAACACCTTATGGCAGGCCAAAAACCTAAGTATTGTCACCACTCAACCAACATCCGACAAATAGTCAAATCAAAATTTTGGTAAACGAACGCCGGAATTAAAAAAATAAATAAATAAAAATCTTTCTCTCATCAACCAAATATATATACAGAAGCAGAGGAACCTCACCTTACCATTATTCTCATGGGGCTTAAGATTCAAAGCTTGCAGTTTTTTCAGCTTGGGCGGTTCTTCAACTCTAAAACGCGACGGACTTATCCGGCGCAGCCGAAATCGTCGTCGGTTAAGGTTATTGGGCTGGACGGGCGGGTCATGGTCTATAACCAGCGGGTCAAAGCGGAGGAGTTGATGAAGGAACATGCTAGCCATCTCGTTTGCCGGTCGGACTCTGTCTTCATAGGGCAGAAATTGTCAGCTCTTTCGGCCACAGACGAGCTTCAGATGGGCGAGAGCTATTTCATTCTTCCATCTCAATTCTTTCAATCCGTTCTCTCCTTCGTCACCATAGCCTCGTCGATCGCGAAAATCAGTGGCGGAGGAGTTGGTTCTTTCAGGCATTTCGACATACACAAGACGGACAATGGAAAGCTGCAGATAAGGATTAGCGAAGAGGTGGATCAGATGATTGGGGAGGAGGAAGAGGAAATAAGAAAAGACGGGGTTTTGTGCACAACGAAAGATATGGTGAAGGAATATGGAAAGATCGTGGGATCGAATGCGCAGCGGTGGAGGCCGAAGCTAGAAGTGATAGCTGAGTCGCCGGAGGGGAAGAGGCGAAGCAGAAGCGGGACAAATCATATTTGGGGATTTTAATGGATTGAGGAGGAAAGATAGAGATAATCTCTGCCCTAAGTTGCTTTAATCTGTATTTTTTTTTGTTAAGAGCAATTTAGTGAACAGTAAATTCATGTTTAACCTTATGTGATTATCAATTTCTTTTCAAAAATAATAAAGAACTTTTATGAACAGTAAATACATATCCAAGAAAAATTATTCGATCCTTATTTAGCTATTTTTTCTTTTTTTACAAGAAAAATGTTAATTTAGATATTTTTAAATATATAAATAATTGTAATTTATGTATTTTAATAATATATGAGATATTTGATTATATGCAAATTAGATGTATTGAAATTTTATTTAATTATTATGACATGTTTAAAATTTATTGAAATATAATTGTGGCAATGGTGATGAGCAATCAGTGGCGGAGGCGGAGCCAAATTTTTTTATCTATGGCGACAAATTTTTGTTTTTTCAAAATAAACTCAATAGGGGCACAAATTGATATTTAGGTTTTAATTTTTTTTATAATAGTAGTTATAAGAAAAATAAATTTTACAATAAATAAAAATTTATTGTCACGCTCATATAAATTAATTTCAACACAAATTTAATATATATATATATTAAGATGATCTCCCCTCCTTGATAGAGAGAGGGAAATAATGTACTTAGTAAAAAAAGTATTAGAGAGAGGGAGAGAGAGAGAGAGAGAGAGAGAGAGAGAGAGAGAGAGAGGGAGAAGAGAAAAAAATTAATGGCATGGAGAGAAAAAACATGGCCCCATTGCCCCTCCACACACCCCTCTAGATTCGTCGTTGTGAGCAATAGTGATACCACGGGCAACACTAAAAAAGTTGTGGTCATGGGACGGTGTGGCTTTTTACTAATATATATTATGTTAAATTCTAAAATAGAATGGCACAACCACTAGGGTTCGAGTCTCGGCTCACAACTTTCGTATGCTATGCTTTATCCGTTGGGCTTGAAAAGTCTTTATAGGTTGTTAACCTATGCAATTATCCCAAGGCTAACTAAGAGGGGAGGTATGAATTTGTTATTCTAAAACTCTCTTGGAATTTTGATAGAAAATTATTTTAGATTTTATGCAAAGAAAATTTTCAACTACAAAAAATAAAATGCTGAAAAAAAAAATGTGGAAATAAAAGAACACAAAGATTTATAGTGGTTCGGTCCAACAAGACCTACATCCACTCCTTAAAGATTCCCTCTTCAGGTATTGCACTATTACAAAAGTGGCTCTTCTTTTGCCACCACAGCAAGGCAGAGAAGCATTTATAATTTTTCTCTCTTCCACCAATCCCCGATGCAGCAGAGTACCGTCGTCCTTTAATACCCACCAAGTGTCAACAAAGTACCATCATTCTTTTACACCCTCTAAGTATCGGCAGAGTACCATTGTCCTTTCTAACCCTCTAAGTGTCAGCAGAGTACAATTGTCCTTTCACACCCTCCAAGTGTCGGCAGAGTACCGTCGTCATTTCACACCCTCCAAGTGTCGGCAGAGTACCGTCATCTTTTCACACCCTGAAATGTCGATAGAGTACCGTCATCCTTTCACACCCTTCAAGTGTTGGCAAAGTACCGTCATCCTTTCACATCCTCCAAGTATCGGTAGAGTACCATCATCCTTTCACATCCTCCAAGTATCGGTAGAGTACCATCATCCTTTCACACCCTCCAAATGTCGGCAGAGTATCATATCTTCTTTAATGGTCTTCTCTCGAGCAACTAGAAAGAAAAAAATGAAGAGATGTAATATAAAAATAAAAGAGATTCTTACCTTTCAGTAACTTTGTGAATCTTTCACACTCCACTTGCAATAACTCTCTCTCAAACACTCTCCCATATCACCCTTTCATTTACTCCCTAAGAAATCACAAAGACTAGATTCGTCCAAGTAAGTTCTTAAAGACCTTTTATTTGAAAGACACGAAAAATCATCGAGAAAATTAAAAATTGTAATTTTGAGCGTACATGATCGTATAGTACGATCAACATTAGTACATACGAACAGTTTAAAAACTACTTCGTACGACCTATATGAACCATTTTCATGCATGAGAATCATCCAGTGCGAACCATATTCATATTGTACAAATAGTTCAGAAAATTTTTTGATTCGTCGGGACGAAAAAATACCTCATATTTTCATACTTGGACTCGTTTGTACGAACAAGGGATCGTACAGTACGAGTAGTTTAAGAAAATTTTGTGGTTCATCAGGACAAAAAAGGAGCCATTCTATTTATACTCTTGACGTCGTCTGTATGAAGGTCACTTCGTATAGTACTATTCATTCAGAAAGATTTTGATGATCGTCAAGACGAACTTGTGCATACCTATTTCATACTCTAGACATCGTCTGTACGAACAGTACTTAAAAAATTTTCTTCTCCATGGTTAGTTCAACTACTCGTTGGAGGAAATAACTAAATTAATTGTCCCGTTCAAATTGAAATCGTATAGTATGATTAGTTTAAAAAAATTACAAATTTTTAACACTTTCTCAGTGTGCGTGTATTGGTTACCTAATTACAATCACACTCTCTTAGACTCAATAAAAATAAAAAATACAAAATTCATTTACAATGATCCCTATTCTAATACTAATTGAAGTCCTCAACAGTCTGGAATATGATTTTTCTAAAATGTTAGTACACACAAATAATAAAAGTAAAATATCAAATATATGTTAGGAGAAATAATAATCAAAACAATAATATTTGGAATCATAAAAAATATACATGATATGAAAAACATATTTATGAAAACTAACTTGCACTAATCTCCCCCTTTTTGATGATGGCAAAATAATTATTGTTTGAGTTAATATTTAAACCCTAAATTTCTTCTTAGGTCCTCTTAAATGAATGAACATATTTGAATATAGAGATTCTTGTGAAGATCAAAGAACTCCAAACTTTTTCTTTCTTTAAAAAAAATTAAAAACTCTAAACTTTTTCTTTTTTTATTAAAAAAGAAAGAAAACAAAAAATAACAAAAATCAAGTAAACAATAAAAAATGAAGAAAAAACATAAAAATAAATAATATCACAAAAACACAAAAACAACACAAAAAAAAATGAAAAAAAAGCACAAAAATAAATAATATTATTGCTTCCCCTTTTGACAACAATAAAATGGAAAGTACAAAATGAAATGAAAGATGCTAAGCGATAAATCAAAATATTGACTTTAAAAATTATTTTAAAATAATTGCAATAATAATATTATTTTATAAGACTAAAAAGAAAAATTCAAAATTTTAAATCAAAGAACAACTAAGATAAGAAAAGTTAATCAAGGTCACGATTCATCCAAGACAAATTAAATAAAGATAATTATTACAAAAATGACAAAATGAAGATTAATTAACTTTTATTTTATATAGAGTATAATTGTGAGTTAGATTGATTTGAATTAGAGATTAAAGGATAGTGGAAAGAAAAAAAATAAATAAAATTTTAAATTGACGATATTATGTATCTTTTCAAATATTTGTGGCACACTTTGTGCATCTTTTTCTATTTGGGCTAATTTTATGCATCTTTTTACTTTGCGAACCTTTGCACAATTTTGATTTTTGCACACATTGCACATTTTTTTTATATACTTTTTTGACTCTTTTTCAAAATCAATAATCTAAAATCAAACTTCTCTAATAACAAAAAAAAGCATTTTGAGAAAGAAATAAAAAATAATAAGACATTAATATTGCAATAATGATATTCAAATTATGTATGCCTTAAAAGAACATGAATTTGATCTTCTTATCTAAATCTAATTATAACTTAATTTAAAATATTTAAAAAATTAAATTTCATAATGAAATTAATTTTGTAATGCAAATTAATTTATAACATATTTTAGATCAATTGCGAAAAGATTTTTTGTATAGGCATACTAACATTTTAAACAATAAGAAACAAATACAAGTGCCCAAAACATGACATTTTTCATTGATATCAAAAAGATCATTTATATTTAATATATTGATATCAATTAAAAAATAAAAATATAAAATCATCACATAAACATCACAACACCAAACAACCAGTATAAACAAGAAATATAGAACATCATCACATCACTAGCAAAGGACTAGTAGAAGCAAAAACAAAGCAGTACATCTAAAACTCAGAGGGGCCCTGGTCTGGAGGAGGCTGGGTGAACACTAAAAAATAGCTATTCATCATAGCTACATTTATATTTACCATGTTAAACAGACCGTGGATCCACCCCATATCCTTCTAGTATCTCGCATCTTGCTAATTTAAATGAGTCTTAATTTGATAAAAATGTTGATCAAAGTGAGTCTGAACCTGATCAAAACACTGGACCATCTCCTAAAAGTAGTGCTAATCAGGTCCAGGTACAGGTGCAGGAGCTCCCGCTTCTTCTTCAGAGTCACTACTCAAACTCTGGTATCTGTTGAGTCTAGTGAATAAGTTGTTAGACCTAAGTTAATGTTCCAAGGCTACCAAGAGGGGGGTGAATTGGTATTTTTAAAAACTTAACCCTCTTTGAAGTTTTGTTGAACCGAAATGAATTTTTTTTAATGAAGTTTTTATAGAAAATATTTTCAACCACAGAGTTTTTTAAACAAAAGAAAAATGCGGAAAATAAAATAAAAAAAATAGTAAAGTAAAAGACACAAGATTTATAGTGGTTCGGTCTAAACCAGACCTACATCCACTCCCCAGAGGCACCCTCTGAGTATTGCACTAATACCAATAGTGTCTCTCCTTTTGCACCCACAACAAGGCGGAGAAGCCTTTACAAA